CAATTAAATTTATATTTACTTGATTCATGTAATTTTTCAAAATTTTTTTTTACATCTATATTATTCCATTTTAAAATTTGTACTGTATTTTCAAGAGCTCGTAATTCTGTTTCAGCTTTAATAACAAGTGCTTCTAACTGATCACCTTGTTTTAATAAATCTTCTTTCATTTGTGCAGACTATACTAAATAAAATGGCAAGATTTATTCATATTTATGAAAGAAGACAAAAAAAAACTAAATATTCATATACCTTAATTACATATTGAGCTTGTGCTAAAACATTACCTTCATTAGATTTTTCTGTATTTAATGTTATAGCAAAAGTTTCATATCGTTGTTTTAATTTAGATACTTTAGTAATACGCATAGAAAGTTCAGCTGAAATAGAATCTTTTTTCGTTCGTTCATCATTGAATCGTATTCGAAATAGATGACTATTTGCTTGTATTTCCATACGACGCTCTTTAATTGCCTAAATCGAAAATTATTCGATAAAGTTGAATTTTAGTTCAAAATAATATTCTGTTTAGACACGAACGGGACTCAGTCGTTTTTAGTCTTGATTCCAAGATCATGTTGCCCATATCTATTTAGAACAAATGAGCTGTGACGAAATGACATTCGACGTAAATTTTACACAACTCTAAAAGGTATTGTTCTCAATGATCAAATGTTGGACCTGATTCCGGAACCGGGATCATTTTGCTCATATCTAATTCTGTTTTAAAAACGCTGTGAACGAGACTTTGATTTGTGTGGTTTATAAGATAATTTATTTAAAATCCTAAGACATTCAACTATAATCTTTAGTTCTAGTTTTTTTTCTCGATTTCTCGGTCACCACAACTTCTCTTATTCATAAATCTGAGTTCGACGAATCTCCAAATTTTAATCCCTCACATCTCTATTCTTGACACATGCAAAAATTAATAAACGTCTCATAATAATAATCCTATTTTCATTTTTACACGTATTCATTAAGGTAAACTTTTGAAGCTTATTTCGGTATTTGTTAGAATAAAAAACGATCCGGTTGAATCTCTTTATATTATAAACATTTTGAATAAAGATTTAAAACTAATTGACAGTCGAAATCACCGATTTTGATATGAAATTTATTAGATTCGAATATTTCTAAATAAACTCAAGAACATAAGGATGTGCAGTTTCAGTTTGCTGGTCACCGGCTAGGGAAATACAGGGTTATTCTACCCTCCCATCCCCTACGTGCGTAGTAGTGAGTAAGAGTTAGCAAAATTTTCTCGGTCAGAGTACAGGATACAAGAAAAGTTTTCCCTGCGCATCTCTACCGGACTGAATATAGAACATCATAAAGCAAAGATTTTTATTTCCATATAGACAGGTTGGAGTTATGCTAGAAACGAAGCTTTCACTATTCATAGAAAATTCTTGTCTCTATCTGAATAACTACTATCCATTTCACAATATAATGTGCTTTACTGTTTTTCGAATAACTTTTGATAGAAACATCATAGAGATCTACGGTTTTCACCACTCAAGAGAGAAGATTCGAAGTCAAAGAAATACACCGAAATTTGATTGGTCAATGATTGACCAATCGAATTTCAATGTAGTTCGATCGATGGTCTCGGGTCTTCTTTCTTGAATGGTGAAAACTGCAGATCTCTATGATGTTTCTATCAAAAGTTATTCAAAAAACAATGGAACACTTTATATTTTCAGATGCATAGTTATAAATTAAATTTGGAATGAAAATTTGAAAAACAAAACATAAATACCTTTTGTAATTCAATTTGTTGTTGTTCTAAATTGGAATTGATTTCACTTGAATTACATAGAATATTTTTTAATCGTTTTAATTCAATATTAAGAAGATTTCTTTCAACTAGATAATCCTAGATTAATAAAAACTATTCGTTTGAAGCAAAAAATAAAAATATATTGATAACCTCTTTTTCATTATTTAATTTTTTAATTAATTTCTCACTTAAACTTATATAAAGATCAAATTGAAGAAATTTTTCATTTAAATCATTTTTATCTATAATTAATTGATCAAAGTCACGTTTAATTATTCTTAATTCATCATTAAGAATTTTAATTTGATTTTGTAATTGATCATATTGATACTTTTTTTGTTCATATTCATTTTGTAATTCATGAATTTTTAAATCAAATTCTGAATATTTTTCATTTGTTTTTTCACCTAATAATCGATTAAGACGACGATCAATATTTTGTTTTATAAAATCTTGATTATAAATTAATTCTTGTTGTTTTAATAATTGTTGATCTAATTGATTTATTTGATTTTTCATATTATGTATTTGATTTTGATATGCTTGATTATCTATTTCATATTGTTTTTCATGTTTACGTATAAATAATAATTTATTATTTAATAGAAAAAAAATTTCTGATAATTTTTTATATTGATTATTTAAATTATTTTGATATTTTTGTTCATTTTTCATTAATTTTTCAAATTTAGATAATTTTTCATCAATTGAAAATTTTTCATTAAGTATAAAATATTTTCGATCAAGTATTTGTTCATGACGTTGTTTCAATTTTTTAAGTCTAGATATAAAATACATTTAAGTACAATTTAAAATAATCTTGAATTCTTACTCTTGTTGTTTGTTGATAATAGTTGTTTTTAATTCATTAATTAACGTACGTGCATGTTGTAGTTCATCTTTTGTATTTATAAGAGTAGTTTTCATGGAGAAAACCTAAGAAAGAATATTGATATTCATTGAAATTAAACTTTTATTATAAGCAGTGTTTTATCTAGCGTGGGAGCGCGCCGCTCTTTCCGAAGTTTGTGGTTATTGTACCACACATGATGTATCTATGCTCAAGAGTGTCAAGATAATATAGAAGTAGTGCAGATGCAGAAGTGAGCTCTATACTATTATAAAAATTTAATTTATATTTAGATGGAAAACAACTGTGCTCTAACAAAAGACAGTAAATTGTAAGAGAATCTAAATAGTGTAAAACTTTCTTTGAAGTATAACTGTTCAAGTATAGAACGAGACAAGTAGTTTGTCTCGAAAACTTGACAGATTAAATAAAGAGTTTCAGACGTTTCTTTTTTTTTCTTTAAAAGACCTATGACGACTCGTATGTCATCAGACGAGATTCATCAAGTTGTATATTTAATCGCATAAAAATTTCACTGAATACACATGACATACACATTGCGTTCTTTCTAATTGGAAGTTATTCTAAATGTATATACGAAGATAACAAGGAAAATATATTAGTAAAAAAATCTTTTTTTTTCTGTATAAATACAAAACATACTAAGACTCGCCTAATTCTTATAGAACTCATATTATTGTCTGTCTGTGCACGAAAAGAACACTATCGAGGACATAAAACTCAAGGAAACTATAACTAGGCATCCTCCAAATCCGAATTCTGGCTTAGTATTCGAGGTCGAAAACTATCCAGTCAGTTCAGATAGTATCGGCTATTTTGATAATTGTTCAAGGGTTTATTGAGGTATATGAGCACTTGTGGAAGTACTCTAAGGTAGAGTTGATCGGATTAGTCTCGCATCCGACGTGCTCTAATCTTCTGAGAAATGTATAGGATGCTCTAGTCACTGAATACAGAAAGCCGAAAAAAAAATTATCTCGTATCTACAGAGCGACTATCCAATTCCGATTAGAAAATTTCATTGAGAGTATTCAAGTACGGTTCGACCGGGTCCAGGTTCGAATATTTCTAAACATTATTGATTTTATTTTTTAGCACGCTTCGACTCACTTCTACTTCCTATTATTAATTGATTGAAAATGTTTGCAATCATGATTGAACCCGAATGTTTGAGTTTTGGCGCATGCTTAATCATAACTCTTGAGAAGAAGTAAGAACCTTTTCTCGGACATCTTTTCTCTTCAAATAAAAAAATGTAAAAATGTTCGATATCTTACATTTGTTTTCAAATGTTCTTGTTTACTCTTGTTTGTCGTTTGTTTTGCTTTTAATGACATGATTTTTTTATCGGCTAAGTAAATCAATTTTTCAGTAACAATATTATTTTTTTGTTCATGTTCATAGAATATTTTCTGTTGATTTAATTCTTGTTCTTTAATACGTGTTTTAGCTTTAATTTGAACAAGTTCCTATAAAAAAAAATTATTTGAAATTATTAATTATTGATTTATAATATATCAGATTAAATCTACAATTGCAAGTCTATCAATATCATGATCTTTTCGTTGCATTTGTACAAGAATTGTTTCCCATCGTTTAATAAGTTGTTGACGTTGTATATAAGAACGACGAAATCTATCAGCTATTTTATCTAATTCAACTTGAAGACTATAATATTCGATTCTTCCTTCTTCCGTAGCTCGTTTTAATTTTATTGATTTTTCTGAATGTCGTTCTAATTGTGCTGTTAATTCCTTTAAATTGAATAGAAAAGATTTTATACGTGAATTTGAAAATCCTTTGTATATCTTACTTTTATGCGAATATTATCTTGTTGTGTATATTTCATTAAACAAAATGTTTCATCATCATTTTTCTTGATAATATCAATTAATTGTTCTAATGCATCTTTTTCGATTAATGTGTCATTATTAATATTCTCTATTTGTACATGTAATTGATTAATTTCTGTCTAATATGAATGTTTAAACTAAAAATCATAAGAAAAAAAAAACTTTTTTTAACATAAAATTTACCTCAAAATCTGTTTTTCGTTTTCTAAATTTAATCAAATCATTTTCCAAAATTACTGTTAATCGTTCGATACGTTTCATTTCAGCAATATCAATATTTAAATGTGTTTGTTCAGTTGTTTCTTCTCTTTGACGTGCTGCTAATAATCTCTATTAATAATCGAATGTTTCATAATAAATAAAATTTAATTAATTATATAGTGTTGGTAAGTCAAATTTTGAGAAACATTTGTTTCTTGTTGTCATAGCTGGATAGAACTTGTCGAGTTACCTCTAAAAGTTTTGCTTGTGACACATTCGAACAATGGTTTTTTTGTAGGGAAGATTAAGTTACAAATACCACAAAAGCTTAAAAAAATTGAAATATGCTAAAAAGTATCGTCTCGGTAGCCTTAATATTCATCCAAATGTTTTTTTATTTTACTCGTCATATGGTTAGGAAAGAAATTATGCATGATCTCCAAAAAATATTGTTTCATTGTTGAGAAGATCGATTTTTTTCGATATGATG